TCTTGATGAGGGTGAAGGAGGAGAGTGCGAAAGCTGCCTTGAAACTCAACATTAAAAAAACTAAGATCATGGCATCTGGACCCATCAATTCCTGGCAAATAGAAGGGGTAGAAATGGAAGCAGTAACGGACTTCATTTATTTGGACTCCAAGATCACTGCAGACAGAGAAAATGCATATTACCTGTCAACTGAGTTAACCCTTCAGAGCTGTGACACTGTTCCTTTGCTACTACTTAGAATGTTAATTGAAGCAGCAATATTAGTATTCATAAGTATTATTAGTATTCGCCACTGTTTTTAAGTGCTCAAATTTAGATATGATATCCCCTGTTATTCTAGCAAATCTATTCAGTAGACCATTTTAATCTAATATTATTGTTAGGGGTCTAACTGAGACTGCCTGAAGTTGCAAATGAGTTCATGGCTAAGTTGAGTCATACTGTTTATCACTTTGGTAAATAATCTCTCTTGATACTACTTTAAAGTGGTTACATTTAAAATCTTTTGCAAAAAATAAAGGAAGGTAGCATTATAAATTTGTAATGTAGTACAGATCCTGTTAAAGTTATTATTAATGTTTAGATGTATATGATTGCCAAATGAGAAAGACTCAAGGGGGTTTTGAGCTGCAAAAGTTGCAAAAGTATGCTTGGTCTTGTCTGTAACTGGTGCCAAGCATTGTCCTAGACCCTAAGGGAGCTTTGTCCCTGTATCCAAAGTTTCTGGGGAGGCCAGTCAGTTTTGGGTGACAGTTCTTGCTTCCCAGCTACCTTTTTAATTCAATAGGCTTGTGACTATACTGCATGACTTCTTTGGGTTCCTTGTGTTCCCCTGCATTTCAGGACTAACTGTAATCAACCATGTACATATACTTCTTCCAGGTTTCCTTCTTCACTGGATCAGTTGGCCCCAGTGCTCTTTTATATTTGTATCTGAGCAGTCAACCCCTTCCCCATTTTGAAACTTTGAACCATTTTTGTCAGCTGATGTACTCAGTTTATAGATGCTTGTTTCAGTAAGTTAGAAGTAGTGCTGCAACTATTGCTTGCCCTGTTACAGTTTGCTCTATAAAGAATGAGCGCTTTATATTTTCTTGGGACAAGACAAGTTCAGACATGCTGAATTTTCTTGCACATTAAGATATTGCAGTTTTCTTTGACTCCTAAACCAAGTTCACATAACCTCAGTGGTAATTTGGATACCATATATCCAAGTATATTTTAAAATAGTAATCCATAATTCAATGCAATTTCAACATCATAAATGCTCTTCAAATGAGAAGTATTTGTAACAGTTCTTGGATCTCATTCAACATGTTGGATAGCAATCTATTGAGGATGGTGTAGTGAATCCTGCAACTTGCAGGTGGTTGGACTTGACATCTTAAGTCCCTTCCAACTCTATGATTTTGCCCAGGGCTGTTGAGAGTCAGGCAGCATACAAGTTTATGAGTGAGTGAGTAAGTAAATAAACTATGATTTTATGTATGTCTATCAATATGACATGCAGATGGCTCCTCATTTGTAATAATGACTGATTTCTCATATTAAATGCCGTAGACTTCTTTCTAGAACCATTGGACTGATCACACTATTGTTGCTTATACAGATATTATTTCCGAAACTGGCATGGGACAAATGACAAGGAGCCAGCCGTATATCGCAGTATTCCTCGCTCAACTGATTCAGAGGACAAGTCATATAGAAGTGAGCAAGGCAGTGCTCTTCTGGATAAATCATCATTTGCCTATCTCTTTGAGCAAGTATGAAGCTTTTTTTGCTATTTGATCTGTTTGGATTAAATCTGATGTATGGCTGGAGCATCCTATCAGACTTGGTTGTAGTTCAGGAGAAAGTAATTGGAAGAAAGACTCCATGAAATGTAGGAATGGCAGGACTGTACAAATGAGAATGAATGAAAATGGTGGAGGTTATTGGTGAGTTCCACAGATTCAAAAGATGCTTCCACACAGAAGGCTCCTGACATTACCAGTCAAAGGTTACTGTGCAACTGCTTGGTCTCCATCATTAATTGGCTTTCTTTGATGGCTTTTTGTAAAGATTAAAGAATTTGTGGAAAACATAAGAAGGGATGCAAAGGAAAGAGGATATCTGTCTGTTCTGGAATTTCTATGAATGAGCCAGGATATTGCACAGTGAAAACCAAGCCCTCTGAAATAGCATTGAAACAGGTTGTGGTGAAACAGGTCATCTGTCAAACTAGAGCCAGGAAAGTAAGCAAAATGAGCTACATTTTATACAGAGAGTAAAACCTAAATAATCTGATCCTCCCTGAGATACAGTATTATTTCATATTGTAAATATGAAGAATATCTGTCCAATATGAGTGTCTTATTAAAATCCAGTTCAATTGCTTAGTAAATAGTTTGAGCATTCATGTGACCAGATTATTCTTTTCCTGTTAACTCTTCGACCTAGTAGATATGTTGAATACAAGTGAGAAAAGGATTGGAAATAATGTTTGTTTGCACTTGCATCAAAATGGTTCTTCTTAACAATGAAATGGGAAATTGTAGAGATGAAAAATTCCATTGGTGCAAAGAAAGATCTTTACTGAGATGGTATTTGGCAGCTTTAGATTGGGGCAGATATTGCTAGGAAACAGCTGAAACTGATCAGGATTGGATTCCAAATATGTGGCCAAACAGTCATGACTTCTACAGGAGCTTTCTTGTTTGTCTTTGCTGTTGTACATCTATTAATAGTTTCTACAAACTTACATATATCTATCACTCTGTTCCCTTTTAGGGCAGGCTATGATATAGAGTCAGTCCAAGAATTCATTTCCATTGTTGTACTGAACATATCACTACCATTCCCATACAAATCTCTGAAACAGCATTAGTGCAGCATTCACTCACTTCAGTTTTATCTCAACATTTCCATCAACATCTCTGTTCATTTTCTTTGCCCTCTTCTTAACTATTCCTTGCTCTTTTTGGCTACATTCCTAGAAATTTTTTCTCTATACCCTATACACATTATGCAATATCTTTCTATCATGTATTGTCGAAGGCTTTCACGGCCGGCATACTACAACACCAACAGCCACTATACCAGGCTATACCGGGAAGCCACTGAGATTCACAAACACCAGCACAGTTTCAATAAAAAAGAGGAGAGTCTAAAAATCAACAAAACCGGGCTACCAACCCTGAAAAATACAGCCTGCAAAAGGTCAATGAACTCAGCTCAACCACCAGGACATGTGAACAGTTCAC